ATCTTACTTTATTTACTGTTTTATTGATTGTTGTGATAATTCAACATAGATAAACTTGAGGTAGTTGATTAAACATCTAGAATAATTAAAAAGTGGCTTGTTGCTTTTAATTGGTAATTTTAATTCCGCAGTATTCACATATTCAACACCTCTAGGTGATTTTAGGATCAAACTAGTAACTTTCATATTCTTTAAAAAAAAAAATTTTACTTGTAAATTCAAAAATTTTCCCTACTTTGTAGCTATATGTTCTCCCATTTCTAACTTCTAATAAAAAGGAGAATGAGGGTCTACTATTCATGCAATAGTAAATGAATCCAATTTTATTATACATGATGTCATTTTTTATTTTACATTTTGTTTATGTCAAATAAATGTTCTTTCACACATCATCTCACTAGCATTAAAAAAATAATTATGTCAAACAAATGTTCTTCTACACATCATGTCACTAGCATTAAAAAAATAATAATAATTTTAGTAAATATAAACTACCATGAGCAACCAAAAAAAAAAATTCTTCGCACATGAGTTTTAAAAAAATAAAAATAAACTTTTCGCTCAGTACAGAGAGATGGCAAACCATGTGTGGAGTAAAAAATGAAGAAAAAACTCTTCGCATAGTGTAGAGAAATGACATACTGCTTGCAAAGAGTTCGCAAACTCTCCGTACAGTGTGAAATAAAAAAAATCTCTCCGCACAGTGTGGAGAGATGGTAAACACCATGCCAAAACTCTCCACACAGTGCGGAGATATGTCATTCTGTGCGGACACTGTCCTCACAAAGTGTGGACTCTCCGTACATTGAGTAGTAAAAAAAAAAAAACTTCGCACATTGCGAAGAGTTGACAAACTCTCCATACAGTGCGAAGTTAAAAAAAAAACTCTCCGCATAATGACTGTCACGTGCAAATTTTGCATTTATCGTATTTTTAATAGTGTATGAATTTTAATTTTTTGGAAAGTTTTTGAAGCAATATCTAGAAATATTTTCATGATATAAGAAAATAATTGCAAAGTATTTTTACAATTGCATAACAATATTGTGTCATCTAGAAAAAGTATACTTGTATATTTCATACTTGAATAAGAAATATATGAGATTATATAAATTATTTTGCTTGTATTCTTTGATGGTGTTGATATGATTGAGTTGAATGTGAAGATTATATTTCTAAATTTTGTGTAATTCAATATTAGAAAATTGAAGATTGAGCACCATATTTATATATATTTATATTTTGTGCTTCATATATATTTAATATTTATTTTATGCTTATATTGAAAAAATAAAAATCTGAATTTTTTTTTTGAAATTCGGTTTGGTAAGTGAATGTACGGTGTTCTACATTCTTAGTATTTGTAAGTGAAAAATCGGTATATAGAAATACAGTAAGCTACAAACACGGTAGACAACATATACGATAAGTTGCAAATACGGTAATTGCAAATATGGTAAGTTATTTACAAATACGGTAAGCTGCAAATACGGTGGGCAGCATATACGGTAAGGTGCAAATATGGTAAGTTGTTTTGCAAACACGGTAGGTTGGAAATACGGTAGGCAGCATATACAGTAAACTGCCTGTAAATACGGTAAGTTGCATATATGGATTTATAATTTGTTATAAATGTATAAAATTTATTTAATATTGAATTTCTTAAGTTGTTGTAATTTAATATTATTTCCTTTTTTATAATTGTATTTTCGAGAAATAACAAAAAAAGTGGTTATGAAATTACTAATTTTAAAATTTTTTTTATTGAAGATAAAAATGATTTTTTTATGTTATTTGTAAAAAAAAAAAATTATTGTAATTTTATTAGTGTAATAAGAAGATTTATTATTCATTTTTATTTTTTACATTTTGTGAAGAATTTTGTTTATGGTGATTGACAAATATTATTCCACACACGCATCTTGTCAACAACATTAAAAAAAATTTTAGTATATATAAACTCTATGAGGTAAAAAAAAATAAAAAAACACTCCGTACATGAGCAGAAAAAAGATACCGCAAAGTGTGCAGAGATGACAAACTATCTCTCCGCACAATGTGAAGAGAAAAATAAAAACTCTCGAGATTTTATCTACAAGTTTCAATAGGCCTTTTTTCAAATAACTTTTGAGCAATGCATTGAACATTTTAATTCCTGGCATACAACCCGAAAGTATAATTTAATTGAAAATTGTATCCACTTCTAATGTCAAAGAGCTATTATCAAGCAAGTGTAAAATATTAAATTTGTGTGGTATCCTAGAATCTCCATTTGTGAAAGCAATGTCTTGGTATTATTAATATCCCCTTCTTTGCACAACTCACTTATTGTTTCATTGTATGAATCACGAGAAAGCTCATTTCCAATATCATAAATATGATTTGCATGCTCAGAAATTGAGCTGTGATTGGAATTTAAAGAAGACATAATTAATTTTGAGTCATATTTTTCGACTCTGTTTCGTTGTTTATATGAAAGATTTACAATCTCAAAATTTAACTTATAATTAAGGAATTTGAAAACAACTTTCCGTACTGTGCGGAAAGTTGGTTTGTCATAACTCTGCACTATGCGGGGAGTTTTTTTTTACTCCGTACTGTGGAGAGTTGGCATGGTTCAACTCTCTACGCACTGTGCGGAGATTTTTTTCTCTCCGCATTTTTTTACTCCGCACATGGTTCAACTTTCTAAGCATTGTGCGAAAGTTTTTTTTCTCTCCGCACTGTATAGAGAGTTTTGCCATGGTGCGGACCAACTCTCCGCACTGTGCGAAGAGATTAACTCTCTCCGCATAGTGTGAAGAGTTTTTTTTCTCTTCGTATTGTGCGGCTGTGCAGAGAGTTTTTTTACTCTCCGTACTATACGGATAGTTGGTTTGTCATCTCTCCGCACATTTTTTTATTTTTTACTTTTACTCCGTACTTGGTTCAATTCTCTACGCACTGTGTGGAGAGTTTTTTTTTTTTCAATTTTACAATATTGAATTACATAAAATTTAGAAATATAATCTTCACATTCAATTCAATCATATCAACACTATCAAAGAATACAATCAAAATAATTTGTATATTTCTTATTCAAACATGAAATATATGATCATATTTTTTCTAGATAATATATTGCTATGCAATTGTAAAAATAATTTACAATTATTTTCTTATATCATGGAAATATTTTTAAATATTGCTTCAAAAACTTTCCAAAAAAAACTAAAATTCATACACTAATAAAAATACGATAAATACAAAATTCGTGCAACGCACGTGATAGCGACTCGTAATTCAAATAAACCCTAAATATAAATTAGTAACTGTAGTGAAATTACATGTTTAATAAATAAAATGTGACTCATGACAGAATAACCTTCATGGTCGTCCAATTGAACTAAACAAGATGCAGGTTAAAGGAATCGATCATTTTAACAATCGTTAGTATAATCGTTACTATGCTAGAAAATATAAAGGTAATTAGGCTAATACAGTGAATGATCAATTTGTAATTTTGCTTGAACTTCGATGACTTAATAACATTAGCTCCAAATGAAAATACCTCGAAAACAAGCAGCCGCCATGTGGACTCATCGCATGCAATTCAAATTAGGCTCCATTTGACCAACATTCTTTTAAAAAATATATATATTTTTAAACACTAATCCAATATCGTTTTAGTTACACATTATTCATTAAAATAATATTATACATAAATTCAAAATTTTTCCTCATTTTTAACCATATATTTCCATCAATATACACTATTCAAAAATATATTCTTACAAAAATAATGTGACTCAAACAAGGGTTAAAATAATGAACACTACTGCTATCAAGCATCAATTTAACTAACAATAGCATGATATTAAGGCCCTGTTTGAACCCCATTTTTATTTCATTAAAATGAAAAATATGGCCGTTATCCATCACATTAAGCCGCCATTTATAAATTTTTATCTCTTGTGTGAAACTCATAATGACTCTATTTTTCATTCTCATTCTATAAATAATATGGCTCAAACGGACTCTAAATAATATATTTACTTAAATATAATATTACATGGATTATTTAATCGGACCATTCAAATGTGATTACTTATACTGATACTAAATAACAATGCATTATTCTTCCAATTAAGTCAAAATGCTCCATTGCATGGTACATATTCTTACAACTACATTCCACTAGCTAATGACTAATTAAGCAGACAAATACCTGTCATTTGTTTTTTCCCCCCTTAATTGGCTCCACGTGCCTGAGTTTTTTATTTCCCTAACTACCGCACACCCAACCCCACGCCACGCCACGCCACACCACACCACACCACCCCACCCCGAAAATCCCAAAGTCTAATTTGAAATTGACGGTCCCTAGGAATTTTAATTTGCAGTCACTGAACTTCTAATCTTATCAGTTAGGACACTAAACTTTAATTTTTCCCAATAAAGTCATTGAACAATTTAATTTCAATTAAATAACTAAATTTCAATTTGATGTCACACATCACTCTGTCGTTCGCCATCTCCCAAATTCAGACGGTTGCAAGTGTGAAGAAATGTGATTCGCCCTTTTTTGTATGTTTGTTTTTTCATCTTCTAATGATTTTACGTCATATGTAATTTATCAAAATTTCTTGTTAAAGTTTTCTGTATTTATAGCATGATTGAAATCAAAAAGCCAGGTGCCTCATTGTCCTTTCCACCCAAAAAAAAAAAAATGACAGGAAATCATAGAAAAAAAAAAAAAAAAAAAAGTGTACTACGAGGGGAAAAACCAACCCACCAAACCATCAAAAACAATTATCTGATTCATTACATCAATTCTAAGCCAGAGAAAATAAATAAATAAATAAATAAATAAAAGAAAAAGGAAATCACAGAAAGAAGAAGAAAAAAAACAGTGTACTGGGAGGGTAAAAACCCACCCACTCACCGCAAGAAAAAGAATTATCTGATTCATTACATCAATTCTAAGCTAGAGGGGGAAAAAAAAGTGTGAAAAAAGAATGATGTGCTATGTGGGGAAGGCAACCAAGATCTTCATCTTCATCGTGACAGTGGTGGTAGTGACTGGTCTGGTCTTGGGATTTGGGCTACTCAGGCATGCTATTCATCACAAGACCCACAAATGTACACCTGAATCTTGTCAACAATCCACCAGCCCAGTAGTATTCCCTCCGCCGCAGCCACCTGGTGATAATCCTAGCCTAAACGTCCCCAATCCCATATCTCCACCACCACCGCCACCAACTAGCGATAGTCCTAGCCAAAATGTTCCTAATCCATCTGTATCTCCTCCTCCTTCTCCTCTACTGCCTCCACCACCACCAGCAGTGTCTTTGCTGCCGCCTCCACCGCCTCCGCCGCCTCCGCCAACTGTGGTGCCGCCACCGGCAATCAGTCCTCCTGGTCCGGTGTCCCCAGGTCCAGTGAATTTTTAGTTGCATTTTTTTGGGTCCAATTTTTTCAATTTTTTGGTCTTGATTTGGGTAATTATTGAATGGCTTTGTATAGAGAAAAATTTATGGTTAATTTTCATGTTGAGAATTATTCCCAATTTTCATTAATTTGTCAATGGGATGAGTGCTTCTCTTCGTAAATTTGACACGCTTATAATTTGACAAAAAATTGTGATATTTAATTTAGTCAATTCAACGTTTAGTATTATTTCAGTAGAATCATGGAAGAGTTGATTATAATTACTAGAGATTCATGAGATATTGAGCGTTAGATTGATTTAAATTAAAAGTCACTTTTATTTATAAAATAAGTTTGTCATAAATTTATGAGTTTGATGAACGGTTCTAGTTTGCCAATTCGCAATGTCTTATACTGATCTATAATTCAATGTCTTAATTGACTTTTTGACTGAATTGTCTAACAAATCATTACGCTGGATTAGTCTCGAATTCATTATTCTTTGCCTTTTATTTATAATCTGTTTGTACTTTATAGTTGATCATATTACAAATTTTCTACATATTACATGATACCCACAAAGTATTAATCATTTATCGACTATTCATTTTTACTTATTCATAATTGAAATCGATTATACACTTTTGAATATGTATTAAATTGGTACTATTTTTCTTTCGTTATTTATAGCGGTGACCAGCGTATGAGATATATCCAAATGAATAATAATAATAATAATAATAATAATAATAATAATAATAATAATAATAATAATAATAATAATAATAAGTGGATTAGTCTCTTAACAAGTCTCTCTGTCCCATGAATGAAGGGCTAGATATTTATTTTTCTAAAAGAGTGTTTATTTTATTTTTGTTTTTTAAGCTCAACTGTAGGCAGTTTGTAAGAGCATGTTTATCTTAGCTTATAAGTAAAAAAATTCCTTTTAAACTTGGTCAAATAAACCACTTTCTTCTTATTTAAAAGTAACTCCATTTGGCAAAATTTATAAATTATTTAAATTTCATTTTCAACCCAAAAACACAAAATTACCATCAAGTTAAGAATTTAATATAGTCATGGCTAAGGAAATGGCATGATATTCCGCTTCAATAGAGGAGGGGACTATTGTCCTTTCCTTTTAGGCATTACGAAATAATTTGCCACCGAAGAAGATAGTAAAAGCTCATTATGGGCCTGTTTGGCCCGATTTTTTCACCCAAAAAATTGATTTTTTGACCGTTATTTCACTATTCCAGCCGTCATATTTGACTTCTTTTCTCACAGGTGGACCTCACTTTTCTCCTAACGGTCAAAAAATCAATTCTCAAAATCACTCCCAAACAGGCTTTATATCTATTTGTCACCTCGACAACTCTTGGATCACTTTCTGTTTATCAAAATCCATCAAAATGATAGTCAAAATTATATTTCAAAGTTGCAAACACACAGTTATACATTTGAAATGAACTTATGTGGAGGAACTTGCCTCGAAGCGCAATAAAAGTTTGGTAGAGAAGTAAATTTTATGTATAGGTAGACCACAAAACTATATTGAGGTGGCAACTTTGAGATGCTATATTCATTAATAAGTGATTTTAGTTTCAAATGAAATTGTTTCGTATTTTAAGTTGCATGCCCTCACAGGCGGGCACCTATTTATCACTTCGATTTCATAATTTTCAAATATTCTGAGTATGTTTATTTGCCTAATTAATTAATTTATTTTCTTAAAATCTGAAATTTATTATTTAAATAAAAACAATTAATTAGTTGGGTTCGAAAATAAAAAATGATTAAAACAAGGTTTTGCAGTGGAAATATTTTGTTGTATTACTTTTTATTATATTTCACAAAAATGGAAAATTCGTAAGAATATTGATAATTCAGAACATCACTAAATATTACAGTAGATTGAAATAAATAAGTTCGATAATTAAAGGAACAATTCGAATGGTATTATTCCAATCTTTCTAGGGGTTTTTTTGGCCTTAATTCCTATGAAAGATGAACTTGCATAGTTAAATATGAATCAAATTAATATAAATTCGAGTTCAAATATTAAATCTCAATGCTTTGAACTTTTTCAACTATGTTGTTTTACATTAAAAACATTTGTATGCTATTTTTCATGATATTTAAATTAAAAAATAGAGAAAATCTTATAAAGATAACATCAATTTAAATTATTATTATTAATAAAGAAGTATTGTTGTTGTTGTTGTTATTATTTAAAATAAATGTGCGATACGATCACATGATTCGATAGGAAGACAAATTATTTTCGCACTCTTAGTACGGATAAGTCATAGGCTAAGTGCTAATTTCTTAGGTGATAGAAAATTTCTTAGATAGTAGTTCATAATCAAAACATCCTAACGAGAAAAACTTATGGTGTGATCACCTAATGGGGAGATATCACCTCATCGGGTATCCCACCCTCACACAATAAGACTTGAGATGAAAAGTCAAGATCCGAGATAACTTCATCTCATGGGATGAGGGTGGATCATCCGATGAGATGACGACTCTCTATTGGACAGTCACACCACATAAGACAGTACGATCGTCCTAGTAAAGATTTTCTCAATCTCGATTATGTCGTTGTGGACACTACATATTTTTATGGAGAAATTATAGCATTAGTCTTCAATCTATGCAATTAATAGTAAATGGACCTTCTTTCTTGTTTCTTGGCATTTACATCCCTGATGTATCATTTAGGTTGCACCGTAGTCCGCAACTCATGGAAGTCTATCATCTCCGCGCATGCGCATGTGAACCAAGTGAAGGCACAAAAATGTTAAGAGGTTTTACCTTACTAATGCCAAAATTCACCAACTTAAAAAACCTCTTAATTCTCCTCGAATGTCCGTACAAAAAATCCTCATATGTCAAGTTCCTTCTGTTTTGATTTTGATCATGTAAACAAGTCAATTTATTTTGAAAAAATGTTTTGCATTGAGCTAGTGTTTTTATTATTATTATTATATTTTTTTTTATTGAAATCTATAATGCATTAAAAAAAAACTCGACTTTCATTAAACGGGACAGATGAAAGAGCTTCATGTATGCTTTAGATGGAGTTTTGGACGGATTCTGCGAACCTGAGAACCAAGGTGCAACAGAAATGATACATTGGTGACTACTGTTGAAATATTTTCTTATTTTTATCCGAAATAGTACTTAGCACAGTAGCACTCAACATCCAACCAACGTCAGGCGTTTTACTTTAGGAATAACGAAAAAATTGCTGATGAAATATGCACCGTGGCATGCTCAACGCTGCCATCGCCTCTCTGCCGTCCAGAAAACATCTACCAAACAGAAATCATTCTTAATTTTTCACGAACCCAGTTAAAGATTTTAGTTATACAAATCAATCATTGTTGAGTGACTCAGTTCCAGAATGGAAGTCAGTTCTACTGAGAATTCTAACGTCACCACCAACTGGTTGTGCGACTATGAGTTGATGGATGGTATCTCCACCGTCTCCGCCGCAGCAGACTTCCCCAGTCTTACTACGCCGCCACCTTCCACCGCCACCATTGGCTTCTCCTGGCCCGCCAAAGCAATCAGCTGCATCTCTATTGTAAGGTGTTACAATTCTTGGACCCTTCTTTTCTTTTTCATTATATTGTGACTTTTGCAATTCCATCAGTTCTTGCTTGATTTATTCAACCCTGTAAAAAAAATAATAATAATAGTAAAATAAAAAAGTAACGTTTTTCAATTAAGTTTGTATATTTCCTTGTAGGATGAGGAGAATTTTGCAAAAAATTTGATTTTTAGGCAAAAATACTCAAATTCTTTGAAGGGTGTGAAAACTGGCAATGGCAGAGTTAAAAATGATAAATTTAGATTTATATAATGCTTCTTAGTACATAATTGTGCTTCCACGTGTGGACATTTTTAATTTTTTGGGGGCTTAACCACTCTGCAATTATCCTGTCTCTAGGCTCGAATATGTGATTTGTTACTTATTAGTTGCTTGCATGTGTTGGTAATTGCTCTGTGGAAACCCACGGCCGTACGAGATTGTTCACAAGTAATAGAAATAAGTGAGTTTCGAGTTTATCGTTTCCTCAAGGAGTAAAATCTAATATCTAATTGAAAAATGCTAGTGGTACATAATAGAATGTACCTAAGGGTGTACATCCCCCTCACATGGGGTGTGGGGTCCACTCGAATAAATGTTTTTTATTCGGGTGGATCCCACACTCCATGTGAGAGGGGTGTACACGCTTAGGTACACCCCTGTGTACCACTAGCACCACCGTATCTAATTTGATAAGTTTTATCAAATTCGACGTGTGATGACATCAAAAGAGTTGTGATATATTTGTTATTTATAGAAAGTGATTAAATCTAATGTGAATGTTTATATTGGTATCTTGAATTCCCCTATTGCCATTTAATTTAATTCTTAATTCGTAATCTAGTAAATTCAAGCACTTAAGACAATTGATAATTCACAGGATTTATCGCACATGATTACACATATCATAGATATTATACATAATATCTATTGCCCATGTATTGATTTTGTCACATTTTGAACTTATAGCGAGTATTCCTACGCTGCAATAAACAATTTACTATCTAATTGGTTATAAAACAATCAACTAATTCAATGAAAATACAAAACCAATCAAGAAAATCAATAATTACTAAACTAATAGTCTTGAATTAAAATAAACAAACAACAGGGTTCATCATTCATCCAATTCAAAGGAAAAACCTAGCCAACCATCCTAATTATTAAATTATATAAGAAATAATGAAATTACATCACTCGGATCGAAGAAATATGAAAGAAAGTGGAATGAAATCTTAATTTTGAATGATAATCTTCAAAAATCTTGTACAATTCTCTTGATGTTGATTACCTATTCTCGTTCTTTGCCTCCAAAATAGATGAGATATAGAGATTTTTAGGTTTAGAGAGGTCATTCTACATTGTGGATGGATTATGGTATTTAAAGACTGCCCAAAAGATTGTTATCAAAATGGAGTTTCAATTGGAAAAAAAAGCTAAATCTCGCCTCGAAAAAGTACTATGCGGTTGCATAGTACAAATGGAAGTGATCACATAGAAGAAATTATAGCTGGTCTCGAAAGCTCTGGTTGCATAGATGCGTTCGCATCTAATTGAACCTATACAAACCACATGGGTATAATTTTTCCTGCCTGATAGCCTTTGGTATTTTGGTCATATCTTTCTCTCCCAAATCCAATTGAAGTGATGAAAGTGCGTTGAAAAACTAATTCAAAGGGGTACAATTCTTTTAGATATATTATTTTTTCAATTCGAACGTTTGCTATGCCAAAAATTGGTCTTAAACTAAGACTGATAATTCGAAACATAACTTTTCTCCTTAAAGTTAACATGTGATAATACTTTTACTTATTTTCTCATCCAATTGACCCCCAATACTTGCGAATCTTCATCGTGAGGTTCGACACAACTTTTAAGTATTTATACTTTAGTCTTCGAACTTTGGATTTACTCCGTTTCAGCCATTTTCTCTTGTACTCTTATTCCTTTATCTTTCAACTGTATCCACTTAAATTCTTGGCATCTTTAATCTTTATTTCGTCGCCCATCTCATCTATGGATTGTTTGCAATTTAGTCCCTGAATTTCTCTTTCGCCTTTTTCACTATTTTTGCATTCTTTTCTCCAATTCCTCATCAAACATCGAGTTTTACCTGCAAAATATAATATAACATAAGTTAGATAGTATTTTATTTAAATAACAGTAAAATATCATCTTCTAGGATCTCAAATAAGTGTAGAAAATACACTTATCAGTAATTCATAGTTGGAAGGGTACAAGAGAAATCTTTTGCTTCTATATTCGAGGGCATATTTAAGAAATTTTACTTGAGAGAGTAAACCAATTGATTTTTCATAACTCTTAAATATATGATGTTTCTCTTTTTCCTTGAGAAGAGTAATGCATCATGTTTACATAGTCTAGAAAGAGTCAATTTTGATAAAATTCATTGCTAATTGTATCATAAGTCCTAGCAGGAACATGATATTCACGAAACATGGGTTGAGAACCTCCTTATTGGTAAACAACTCCGGTTTCCATAACAGGTTGCAAAGTGCTACATCCGGTCACTAATTGAATGCTTTACTGAATTTGGACACCCTCATTACGGTGCAGGAAAATATACCAATCCTTTTCCGTTTAAGTATTGAAATGCGTTACAGAATATGTTATCCAGTTTTTCAAAACGACCAGCTTGCAAACCAGTCGGAACCAGTAATAAGTGAGCATCTAGAATGCATATGTCAATGAACTAATATCTAGTAGAAGCTCATGAATATGGTTTTGTTGTAAAGGATAATCCATAAACAGTTCAATTGGATTCCTTTATTGAAGAGCTATGGACATAAAATTTGCGAGGACTAAGAAGTGCTTCAGCTAAGTTGGTTGTAAACTATTTAAATTGACTATCAGTACGAGATGGAAAAACTACCCATATCATCTTATATATATCAGAATAGCAATTAAGAAAAACTCGACATGATGCACGTCTATTCTCTAAGCTGATTTGTTACTAACTGCTGGATAAAAATTGAAGAACAAGAACTGCATCGGAGATAATTAGGTCAAGTGGACACATAAGAAGCTCATGTATTTCCAGCATCTAATATTACTAGACCAAAAACCTGTGACCATTATGAAACCTGAGGCCGGTAACCCATACTGAATGAATATGTATCTGGTTTCTGGCAGCATACTGATGTGCCTTTCTTGATTCAATGGGCACGAAGGATGAAATTCCATGAGGGTAACATCAAAGTTATATATTTTTTTCGCATACATTAACTGAAAGGAAGACTGATTTTATCAGCTTATTATTAAAATTTATACTTATGTATGATTTAAGATGTTAAAATACGTTGCAAAATGTGAAAGAACAGGCTGAGTGATGGCAACATAAGACAAATCTGTCCTACTTTTACATGCATATGTATAGTCGAAAGGCAAAACAAAGAAAAATTAGGGTTTGTTTCTCTCTTTCTATATTTTTTCTCGGGTCGGTGTGAGTGCAGTTGTTGCAATAAACTTAATCATGCTTTCATCAATACAATAAGTGAGAGGTTTGAGAATGGTAAATAATACTGTTTATTATGCAAATTCATTGCATGCTCTTCCTTGGTTCTCATCTTCACTCGCTGTTGGATGGATCTCATTATTGTGACGGAGTTAGCATTTTTGAGAAGTATTTACCACTTCCAAGCCTATGTCATACAACACAGAGTGCCATGTCAAGTGCCAAAATTGAAACACTTTTATTTAGACTCCAGAAGTACTGATTCAAAGGATATAGAACTCATAAAAGTAATATCCAAATGATTAAATTCATTCTAAACTGCACGTTTATAAGGTAGAGTGAAGATTATATCTAAACAGAGGAGGTCAATGTCAACCATACGGTGGTGTCTCTTCTTAAACTTTGCAGCAAGAACTTGTAAAAAACATTTTTGGACAGTGGAAGTACAACTACATCTATGTCATTTTATTCTTCATATCTGATGACTTAGCTATGTATTTTAGTTCGGAATTGGATTGCTCTTTTGAGGATGCTGAAGGCTTTAAGGAAGTAGGTCCTCGTAAACGGTACAAATCTTCCCATTATTTTCCTTTATTGTTAGTCTCTTGGCAATTTGTGATTCATAGGTTCTTATGTCATAGATTCCTTTCTGCCTACTTAAATATTTGAATGTATTTCTGTTCATGAAATATTGGATAACTTGCATTTGGTTTCTAGAAGCCAGAAATATCTATGGAATTTGATGGAGTCTTTTTCTCGATCATTTACGTTCTACACTAATTAATGCTATATAATTTGATTTTTTTCGCCTTTATACTTATCAGAAAGCTTAAATTACATTCTGTTTCTTGATTAACCATTCCTTCTTGATAGACTAAAAAAAAAAAAATGTATATGCATGTTGCTTTAATTTATTTGTTAATGTCATCATCCACTCAGTTTCTATCCTGTCATTTTGCATCTTTCCTGAGTCCTCTTTCTATGTTTTTGTTCATCATTAATAAGTATGCCTGGTTCCATGGAAGATAAAATACGTGCTGAACCCCTCAGTTGCCAACCTAAAGTAGTCAGTATGACAGCCATCTCGTTTAAATGAAGTATATGACAGCCATCTCGTTTAAATGAAGTATACTGACGATATGCTGGGCCATCAAAATACTTCTATATTGAGTAAATTCTCAGAAAGAATCCAATAAAAAATGCTGGTATGAGCTTGAACACTGTTGAACTTTGCTTAAATGTCAAGTTTGTGTCCACGAAAATTTTGCGCTAGACGAACGAAGGACATCTTTCACAAGTTCTCTTCCAGATGCATGTCATAGTTCAAATACAGCTGCAAATTAATCAAAGCACAAGGATACAATATTCTGTATCTTGTGATTAGAGAGTGGTATCATCTGAGTGGACCCAAAATAACAGAGGTAAAGTAGAAGTCATGATTCATCATATGTAACAAGATCTTAATTGAACTTGAGATCTTAAGGACATGTTATTCAAGTTCCTTGAATTCAGTTCGGACGAATTGGCATTTACTACAATATTTGAGCCATTAACACTATTTTTTGATGTACTTGTCACTGAAACTGTATTTGGTAAAAATAGATCTTTACACCCTTTAGATGATTCTCTTTCCTTCTTTTTCATCTTTTCTTCTTCTTTTTACTAGAACCATGGATTTTACTAAAACATCTAGGATTATCAACCAATAATGATTGGAAGTACATGGTTGTGGCCCTTTTGGGAGCTTATCCTACTGAACAACATATGCAGTATTGCATTTGGCACAGCTACCTGTTTTTCTATGTCCCGAAACAGTTATGTAATTACGTTGCTTTTGTTGATCACATGTTTAGTATCTTCTATAAATTGTCCCACCCTTGAGGTATCGTCACTTTGGTCTCTGTCTCTATATGGGAACACACACACACACACACACACACACATAGAGAGAGAGATGCACACACACCAAACTACGAGCGTTCTGTTTTTCTGGATAATGTCTTTGTCGTTTGATCCAATAGCATTTCTTTAGATACAAACTTATAATAAATACTGATAACCCTTGGATGGACAAATTTCTTTGTTACTATATTGTGTATGTAATTCATATAGAGTGGAATATATGTATACTGGAATAAATAGGCTAAGAGCGGAGCGAAGTGAGGGGAGCGTAGCGCACCGAACAGAATGGTATTTTTGGGGATTTCCCTTTAATCTTGTGTACGAGCCCTAAAATCTTGTATGGGCTATATCTAGGTTTAGTATATATAGATGATGTAACCTTATTATTCATACATAATAAAATCATAGTTGCTTCGCTACCGTGGACGTAGGTACATCATTGAACAACTTAAATCTATGTTCTTATTCCTTTGTCAATTATGCATTCTTCGTCATTATGATTGTTGCTCAAATCACTACACACTGTTCTCTCTTCAGGCTGAGAAGAAAGAGCTACGAGATGAAAAGCTGAGGCTTAAAGCCGATAAGGAGAAGCTCGAACTGCAAGTTAAAGCTTCGGCAGCACAAGCTGGGTTATTAGCCCATCAATCTGCAATGGGAGTTGCATTTGCAAAGGAAGAAGGGAACAAGTTGATGCCCTTCTTTGGTTATCCCGGTGTTGCCATGTGGCAGTTCATGCAACCTGCTGTAGTTGACACGTCTCAGGATCATGTGCTTCGCCCTCCTGTTGCAATAAGCCGGAGAAGCTGATGTAGCATGGCTCGGGAAAATGCTGATGTTTAGCAGTTTTATAACTGTGTGTATCTCTTTTGAATGGATGTGATGTAAATAAAAACTGGTATTTGCTCTTTGCTTGAACTAAGCCAGGTGTATTGCTGCCTGCAGCAGAATTTGCACTTCTTCTTTGTATGTCAAAAAAATAATAAATCCTGTGGTAATTAAAGACTGCATTTTATTTCATAAATTCAACTTGTTCAATCAAAAAGTGATTTTTAGGAATCTGGGAAGGCCAATGACAAGGTCCGGGGCATATTCATAGACTACTCGGAACTCATGGTCGAGCTCATGGCAAGATCTATTGGTCTGAACTTTCATCAACTTTGATAACGAATCTCGGGAGAGAGTGGAATCAAATACCGACATTGTTTGAATATTAGCATCATTATTACAACTAATAAATGAAAAATCAGGAAAGGTATCGATACAAGAAGAATTTAGATCGAGGTGAACAAATCATAACAACAATCCGGCAAACGAATATAGCTTAAAATCTAAAGGTTGATGAGCATCATTATGATATAGAAACTTAGCCCGAGGGAGGAACCAGCAATCACATTTACCCTGGTAGCTGATGAGGGAGGAGGTGCAGGCAAAGAAACTCCCGGAGGAGGAGACAATGTGGGACTGCTAGTAGGAGACGAAGAACGGGACATCTTAGGAGCAGGCGAATGTGAATGCTTTGGCGAGGGAGCTGAAGATTTGGTGGGTGGAGAGGAAACCGATGGCTTGACAGAGGAACCCGTTGGTGGCACTGATGAAGTTGCTGGTGGAGGGGCTGAGGGAGTGGCCGGTGGAGGTGCAGAAGCTGTGACGATGTCGATTTCTAGCTTCATGCCTTGGTCACAATGTCCAGCAGTTCCACAAATGAAGTACCGCTTGCCTTGAGAAGAAAGTGTTATGACTGTTGAGCCTCCAGAATGAGAATTTATGGGGTTATTTGCTCTGGGTGGAGAGGAAACCGATGGCTTGACAGAGGAACCCGTTGGTGGCACTGATGAAGTTGCTGGTGGAGGGGCTGAGGGAGTGGCCGGTGGAGGTGCAGAAGCTGTGACGATGTCGATTTCTAGCTTCATGCCTTGGTCACAATGTCCAGCAGTTCCACAAATGAAGTACCGCTTGCCTTGAGAAGAAAGTGTTATGACTGTTGAGCCTCCAGAATGAGAATTTATGGGGTTATTTGCTCGGCACGAGTCGAAATCAGGCTTTGAGACTTCAAGAACATCATGGTTTAATGTATACTGGAAAACTGCATGCACAATTAATTAGAAGCCAACAATTAGAATCAACATGTCAATCTTATTCTCAATAAATTTAAAGTCGACTACATAAATTTGAAATTCTTTCTAGCCACTCTGTTTCTCTTATTACTACATTGAATCCTTAACTACTACAATGTCTTTATCAGGCAAAATACTTACTCAAATTATCACCAACGAAAAATGTTTTGGACGACGCCCATTTTCCTAGATCGGACGATTGATCCCATCTACCATCTGGATTTCCCACTGTGTAATTTGCTGCCATAGCCAGTTTCATTAGTATGGCTATTGCAGCCAAAGTTAATATTGTTTTGAGCATTGTCATTTTAATTGGTTGTCAAGCACAAGTTTTGTTGAAGAAATAGCTCAATCTTGGGTTTGGTTTAGGCAAAAGGGATTCTATTTATATGTGCAAATTGCAATTTAAAGTTGATGAAAGAGTCATTGGAATTTCTTGAAGATATTTTTTTAAAGAAATGGTAACACAAATTGTAAAGGAAATTAACATAACGTAACCTCTTTAGAAAATTCTTCTACAAGAAGTAAAATAAAAAAGAAAAATAGAAATCTTGACAATCATCTTGAGATGACTAATAATTGAATCGACTTGTATAGAATTTTAGGTGTTAAAAGAAAATTCATCATAATCTTGAGTTCATGTAATGAACCAAAATAAAAATATAATAAAAGGAAAGGTATATTGACTTAGTGGAGACACACTTCTCTTTATTTTGAATTAGTGAAGGTTCATTTTTAGTTGACTTTTTCCAAATTGGATTTATTTATATATTTTACGAAAGCACTTTCATTATTGAGGTGAATGATCGGTCTTTCTGTTCAATTAATTCACTATATTACGATTGTATATTATTTATACATTTAAAAAATTGTAATTAAATAAGAAAGAACAATGATAAATTTGTTCTATGAGTTTAACGTAATAGAAATAATATTTTATTATAAAATTTTATAACTTTTATGAAATTTCATACGTTTGAGAGGTGTTCTATCTAATGGAAAATATGATCATATGGAGGGAGGAGTCGCCGATCATGGCTACTATGGGGAGAAGACTTCTCCTTTCTTATTTTTATTGACAAAAAAAAAAAAATAAATAAAATTAAAGATTGAGAAATCAATTATCAAGAAAAATTGAAATAAGAATTCAATATCTCAGCAAAAAAATGGAGATTCTTGTAGCATTTTTTCTTATATTAAATTTATGTATGATTTAAATATGGAACAATTGATGTTATCTAAACTTGACATTTCAAAGTAAAATTAAGTTGATTATTTACATAGTTGTAAATAATTTACTCAACTTAGTTATACAAAATCGACATTTCTAACTAAATAAGAAATAGACCGTTAAAAATAAAATTTTAAATAGACAATAATATCATAATATTTCTCTAATTCAACGATTTAATTCTTTTATAAATAATCGATTGTTCAAGAGTTCCTCTATTTGAAATTTCATTTTTCTTTTTTTTTTCTCTCCCTATTATAAATCACCAATTCCTCATTGGACTTTCACCAAATCATTTTTACCAAACCACCACTATTAAAGTAATAGAGAACATTTCTTTAAAGAAAAGTTTATTGTCTTTGTCTCCTTCCCTTTTTTTTTTTATTTTTTTTTATATTATGGTCTAACGTTAAATAGAAATATTCAAACTAGACCTTTTCTAAAAGCCAAAGGCCTGTCCTGTCCTTCAAAACAGCTACACCTATTCCGTTTGCCACGTTTAGTTAAGGATTATGAATATAATTTAGTAACTATACGGTCCACTTCATTATGAATTTCATCCTTACCAAATAATTTAGACATAATAAGAAACCAGCCTGGCCACATTCTGGCTGTACAATAACTTATTCTACGTTTCTAACCAACTTTTATATAAAATAAGTTGCATCTCTGTTCTAAGAATTATGATGTAACTCTTTTGATGAAAAAATGAATCGCCGAGTCCTGGGCAGGACATGTCTTAGGGGCGGACCTGTGGGGCGGATTATAGGGGCAATTGATCCCC